GGGGGGGGGGGGTGAATTGTTGTCTCACATGGACGCTCTGGCTTAAGCAGATCGAGCCGCATCTCATGCCATCTCATCATCTTTTGGTGGCCGGGGTGTAATAAGAAGAACACTGGTCACTCTAGCGACCATGCGACAGGACTGCAGCCTGCCCTAAAACATGAAGCGCAAGGTCCCTGGGTGATGATTTGTGCCTGGTATCCATGTCCGTCGGTGGGCTCTGAGTGCTGTCGGCTCCCGGTTTCTTTCTACATACACTAATAATAAGAGGACCGATCATCCTTCAGCTTGCAATCCTCCCAGGCCCATTCGGTCCCTTCTTTAAGCAGGCGGCAATGATGGGGCGGGTTCCAACATTCAGGTTGAGTGGACGACATGGCATATGAAGTGAGTGGCGCTGCAGATGTGCGAGTCTTTTTCATGACCAGGAAACCCTTGCCAACACTCCCGTTGACCCCAGTTCCCAGGATTGTGCACTATTGATCGACATGCTTTTCCCAACGTGCCCGAGGAATTGCTACTGATACTATTACTTACATGGCGTTCGCTTGCAAGTTTGGGTACGGTTCAACAGTATTAAAGTAATATCAAATAAGGGTCCGTTTTCCGAATAACTTCAATGTTTTCCTTGTATGATATATGAATGCATAAGGTACTCGTATATCAAGGTAACACAAACCCCCTTCTGGGGTCAGCTTACATTACACATTGCACGTCTCATACACTGGCTCGACAGGTCCGACTTCCTGCGGCTTGCCCAGGCCTCACAGGGACCGCTTTGCGCCTAATGAAACATTCGTCTTTCTCGCCCTACCATTATGCAGCTTCCACTCAGCTCCCTCATTCGGCCATGCATTTTGCGCTCAATTGTTTCAACTTTTTTATATTCTCCTCAAGGGATCTACTGTGCCTCTTTTGAAATGCTTGGCCATTCTCCCATAGGCACGTGCTTTTATGAATATAAATTCTTATTTTTGGAAACCAAATAAATCATACCCCCAGCGACAGCGCCGATCGAGCATGCATATTGTAATAGCTGCCGCCTTCGGGCCAAGGTCCCTGATGCAGGGCCCATTGGCGGCAGTGCGTCATGGATGACTCGGGTCAGGTCATAACATAGCACAGCCTACCCAACCAGAATCCTTTGTTATGATTGCTACTACGTACAGTCTGATAGATCTTGCTGACCGTACATTGCGGCTGAGACATACTTTACCATTGGACTTTGCCTGACTCTCCCTGCTGACCAGGCTGATAAAATCTCCATTATGCATGTGATGCCAGCTCAAATCACTAACAAGGCTGAGCATTAATTGAAGTATTTCACATACTTTTGTTACCGGCAAGAAGATAGACTCTCTCAATTTAATAACATATTCTTTCCTATCAAGTGCTAATTTGAGGCAGTTCGAATGCCTGGGTATCATTGCGATGGCAGCCTGCGTTCAAGACGGTGTGCTAAGCCATGCATTCCATCATACACAAGAACATGCGGTGACCGTCTTTCATCATACATCAATATTATAGCATCGCTAGAAGCAAAAGTCATTAATACCTGAAATGTCCAGATCTGATGTACACAAACGTGCCGAGCGGACAGGCAAGTATAATCATGCAATGGGCGCTGCATTGTTTGAATGACAACTCTCAAATCGTAAAACCCTAGCATCCTTAACGCGGACTTCGGCTGCGCCTTCTTGGTCGACTGCGACTACGCTCCCTTCTATCACGCCTATCGTCGGGGCTGCGTTCGCGTCTGCTTCTTCGATCTCTGTCTCTGTCTCTGTCTCTGTCCCGGTCACGATCCGCTCGGTCGCGCTCTCGGCTTCGCTCTCGGCTTCGGTCACGGTCACGGTCACGGCGCCGACTCCGGCTCCTGCTCCTGCTGCGCCGTCTCTCTCGTCTATCATCTCGACCGTGGTCCTTGTCTCTGTCGCGGCGGTCGTCTCTGGTATCGTGATCTCTTGCCCGGCGTTCCCGGGCTCGATCTCGATCTCGATCCCGGTCTGCATCTCGGTCCCTGTCGCGATCGCGATCGGCGTCTGGGCGGTCATGGTCACGATCTCTGCGTCTATCTTCTCCGGGACGGTAGCGATCAATGTCGTCGCCTACTTGGGGTCCTGCGCGTTTCGCTTCGGGGGATCGCTCGCTGGTACTACGTCTGTCATCGAGGCCAGGAATAGGCAGACCTTTCTGACGGGCTTCACGCTGAGCGGCTAAGTAGGCCTTGGCTTCCTGCTCACGTTTCTTGATCTCGCCCACTTTCCATACTTCAACGACGTCTTGCTTAGACGCAGTAGTGGGGCGAGAGCGCGACCTGCTACGACGATCACGAGTCTTCTCTGCACGATCGCTAGCCTTGTCGGGTTCCTTGCTGCGTGCTCTCCGAGTAGATCGGCTCCGGTCTCTATGCTCGTTGCGCAGACGCGACCGGCTCCTGTCCTTCCTCTCAGCTCGCTCGCGCGGGGAGCGCGACCTCTCCCGACGATCCGCTCGGTCACGCCTATCTCGGTCGTCGCGAAGACGTGACCTGCTGCGCTCACGACGTCGGCTTCGACTTCTTTCCTTTCTATCCCGAGAGCGGCTACGAGGTCGTCTATCCCGATCGTCTCGGCGCCGAGAGGGGCTGCGTTCTCGAGTACGAGCCTCTCCCGGGCGGTAATTGTTTTCATAAGCAAACCGCCGCGGAGGTGTACGACTACGCTCTCTGCGTCTGGACCTACTCCTTTCCCTTCTGTCTCTCTGGCGAGATTGGCTGCCATCTCTCTCGCGAGTCCGATCTTGATCTCTGTCCCGGTCCCGATCTCGTGAGCGATCACGATTACGATCACGGTCTCGCTCCCGATCTCGTTCAGAGTCACGGGCGCGGTCGCGTGGCCGTTCGGCTTCACGGTCACGATCTCGGTCTCGAATTTGATCTTGATTACGCTCACGTCGCTCATCATCCCTTGCTCGGTCACGAGAACGGTTTCTGGTATCGCGGGAAGCTGGCGCATCGCGGATAGAAGTGGCGATACTACCACGTCGCTCTTCCCCAGAAGCTGAGGTCTTGGAGACTTTGGGTGGCTCCTTGGTTATATTCTTGTCGCTAGAAGCCTTTGTGTCTTTAGTCTCTTTTGTTGATGCCTTGGTATCTTTGATGTCCTTCGTCTCCTTTGCCTCCTTCGAATCAGCGGCTGCTTCTTTGGATTCGGTCTTGGAGGTCGGGATTACTCTTTTCCCTTCAGGCATGGTCTTGGACGAGTCTCGTCGGATGGGCTGTATGGCAGATGCTGGCTTAGTCTTCTTGGGAGGCGGTGCAAGCGCCTCGTCAATCTCCATCTCTGGCTGTGGTTCGGCGTTTCGCTTGCTCTCACGCAGAAGATCTGCCAGCGCGTCTCGCTCGAGTCTCTCAAGCTCTTCCTTTGACAGACTTTTCTTGACTTCTTCAGGTCTGTGCCGTTCTCTGCCTTCACGTGAACGGTCTCTTCGTCTTCGCTCGCGGCTATCCCGCCTTCTGCTGCGGCTACGGTCACGGTTTCTTTCGCGATCTCGGCGATCTCTGGATCGGGATCGGGAGCGTTTTTCCCGACGTTGGTCGCGAGAGCGGATTCTGGCCTCTCTCTCCTTTTCACGTTCTTCGCGCTCCTTCTCCCTAGCAGCTCTTCGCTCATCTCGTTCCTTTTGTCGTTGAACTTCGCGCTCCGCATCTTTGGCCTCCCGCTCGCGTCTTCTTGCGTCTCGTTCTTCCAGCCGCTTCGCTTCGGCCTTTTCAGCTTCGCGTTCACGGCGTTTCCTCTCCTCGCGCTCGATCTTTCGTTTCTCCTCCTCAATCTGCTCCTCCTTCTCTCGGAGAATGCGTCGGATGCGTTCGCGGTCCTGTAGACGAACTGCGCTCTCCTGAGCATAGTCCTGATCGGTTTTAGATCCTTTCTCTTGCTCGGCAAGAGCAGCCTCTTCACCAATATCCGCTGTGCGCAGCCCGCGAATGTGATTTTCGATAGCCTTTACATCAATGAGCTGGTCAATAACCTCCTCCGCTTGCTGGTAGACGCCGGATCGGTCAAGAGCTCCATCGATTAGGGCTGCGGCCTTGCGCCGATCAAGAGTGAGGAGTTGTGAAGGATTGCGTTCCAATTCTTTTTCGGCAACTCCAAGGATCGATTTCGTTACTTGGTTCTCGTAATCCTATCAAAAAAGTATCAGAGTTATGGGGTGCTCATGGTAGCATATCAAGCCTCCGAGCACCATGCTCCAACTTACACTGGCCTCGAATTTGTCCCAGACTTGCTTGCGGATCGCATCATAGCCTCCCTGCTTCTTGAAACTATGCGCAAGACCTTCAATTGCTGTTCGCGTGGCTGTCGTCAAGGGGAGATCGGAAGCCTTGAATTTTCGGACGACGGGAGTTGGGGCGGCCGGTGTGGGCTCTGTAGGGGTCGCCGTCGCCATATTAAGAGTCGAGGCGGACGCCATCTTGTAGTCAACAAGAACACGAGAAGACTCAAGAGTCCTCCACAAGCTCCTCTGTAACTGGTTAGATGAAGCGGAAAGATTGAGGTTGAAATGAACGGGAAAATGTTGTTCGTGGAAAAGATAAGTGCAGCCAAAGCTTCCTTTAACGAGACAGCTTCATGCTGGCTTGCGTTTCCCTGCGCTTCAGCAAATCAGACTGCCTACGACTGTATAGTTTTGAAAACAGAAACGCCACAGGCGCAGTGAATGAAACAAACAATTCTGGCAACAGATCAGCCGGTTGTTGATCTGGGTAGTGGCATCGACCATGGGCCAGTCGCAAAGACGCCCTGATTAAATAATTAGAGTATGAGCGGATGGAAATGTTGGAGCACGCAGCAAGCAACCGCATTTTCCACGGTCTGAGCCAAGCGCGACTTGGACCGTGCCAAAAAGGAAAGACCGTTACCTTTTCCCCTGCTCCCCATACTGTACGTACCTGGCCTGCTGGTTAGGTGGACGGACCCACATGCACTAGCTTGCTCTCCCATTAGGCAAAACTTCGGCATGTCGCTCTCGAGCTTCCGACTTCATGTCAATTGACGCTCCTCCAGCTCTTCTGAAGCTCCCCCCAGAAGAGAGTCCAATTCACCTCAGCGTCAACCAATAGAAAGACAGCCAAAGGTCAATCCACGTCAAGACCTTTTCCCAAGCCCGAAAAACTTCAAACAACATCCACAAAGCCCACCGCGGCTCATACATATACACATCTCCGCTCCCCTCCGTCACGATGGTTTCGAGAATACTGTTTTGGTCAGGCTTTGGTACGATACCAACCGTTCTGCTTTGATTGCGCCGGCCGCCCCCCGGAAGCACCATCTTCCCCCCAACCGAAACACGAGGTATCGTGAAGAACAGAAACTAACGCAATCGTGCTTTGCAACAGGCGTGGCCGTCCGCTTCTGGCAGCTCGGCCTCGAGATGCGCCCGCTCTTCAACCGCTCCTCGCTCTGGGCCTGGCCCGTCTTTGCGGGCGTCGGCGGCAGCTTCGGATACTGGCTTCAGGGCGTCGATGAGCGACAGACGGCAGTGCTGGCGGACAGGAAAGCAGCCATTCTCGAGAAGCGCGCAAGGAGGGCCGCTAAGGAGGCTGACCAGGTCGCCGCCGAGCACGCATGATTTTTCTCCGAGTCACTGGCCGTGTGGGCGGGATGGGGGAGGAACCGACGATTTGCGTTGGAATGGCTGAGGTTTGAAGAATTGATCGACTGGCAGCAGACAGACACAAATGATTCCATGGGAAATGGAAGCGCCATCGACTGTGTACATATCACGAAGGAGAGGCTGACCTGGCAAAGGAAAGGTCCTGGGTACCCGACAACATACCTGGATCACAGGCTATCTCAACCACCGAATGAAGAGAACATTACAATCCGTGGGATCCCCTCCCGCACCAATAATTCCTGATACTACCGTGAATGAACAAATCCATGCCAGATTATGTCTTCGGGCATATATCGACATTTGCGTCTCTTCCATAGACGCTGATGTTTTCGCACTGGCAAAGAGCGAATATCGACCCATTGCTGGGCGCCCGTATCCTAGAGGTCGTTTTGTACTTCAATGAGGATGCGGGAATCAGTAGAGGTCACATTTCATGATCATTAAGTTTTTGAACTTGATTGATTTTGTTTCTGAATACAGCCATAGGCAATGTCTCTTGCGCTGGACAAAACATGGTGTGCAACTACGTAGCAGAATCTACCACTCAAATCTTCCCAGTATTCACGAAGATCGATCATCTCGACGAAAAAGCTGTGTAGCATGAGGTGTCGAGATACTCAATTCCAAGATTTCCTCGTTTCCAACTGTCGTGATTTGAGGTATACTGCAGAAACCATACGCGGTGTCACTGATTCGCGACTATTCTCAACTCCCTAAGCATCTGTACCCATCCATTCGTCTATCTTGACGTCGGAAACGGCTTGAGTGCGACGAGCTTAGGAACCCTGTAAATCTTGCCGCATATTTCCAATTCCAGTTGATCATCGGGACAGGCCTCTAGGCGCATCGACTTTGGAAGCTGCCAAGAATTCGACTCCTAGTTGAACTCTTCGAGCTTTCTTAGCAGATCGGGGGCAGATCTCGGCTGGACGGTTCCCAGCTCCGTAATCAAAAGGTGCAGGTATTTGTCTGGGGTGGTATCATATAGCAAACGGAACGACGCAGCTTGACATCTCTCCGGGTCAATTTCGTTGTACGTCAGTGAGTCGGTAGCGACCCTTTCTGTAATGTTGATCGTCTGGCACAGAACAACAACACCGAGGTTGAGTTCTTGGGCAGCCAATGCAATATCGCATGTTCCAGATCGTGCGTACAGAGCGCCATTGCTGAATACCGCCTCAGCTCCGACGAGAACCTTGTTTGCTCTCTTGAGGTGGTTGACCAGGCCGCCCAAATCGCCGCTGTACGAGACATCAATGTCTGCTGCAGCCAAGTTCTTTGCCATAATCTGGCCGGGCTTCTCGTAAGGGTCGTCAATGACGAAAACAGAGAATTTTGTTCCAGAGGCTCGGGCAAGAAGTAGTGCCCGCTCGACCCCAGTGCTTCTGCCGTAGGTGAGAACAACATCGCCATCTTGGATAGACTTTGCACCAGCCTCGGTGACTACTTCCTCTGCCACAGTGATGCGCTCAGCCACGAAAGTATCAATGGCATGGCAAAGATCCCGCTTGGCGTCCTCCTCAGTTGCGTCCATATCGATCTTACTGACTTGGAGCTTAAGCCATCTTATGGCATTACCCATAGAAAAGCACATCGGACGACATGCTGTCAGATATTCGATTTGTGGGTTGAGAACGTGTGGTGTGAAATGTCTGGCCAGTGTATGACCAGGGGGCGTGGTGTATGATTGGATGACCTGGGTAATGTTAGAGGCGTTGTGACAGAGAAACACTAGATTAGACAACTTACCTTCTTGAATGCAAGAAGCGTCGCTCGCAGTCTTGTGATGCTCTCGTCAATGGCAAACGTAGCCATCTGCTGTCCCAGAGCAAGAACAACAGGGTGCACATCCTTGTCGGCCTGTGTCATGGGTATTCTCTTGGCCATAGACAAATGACTGAAGCACTCTGGAATTTGAATCTTCTGCTCCGTGATGATCGATGAGGGAGGGGCCTTGGCTAGGACGGGTCTGCTTCCCGCCGCACCAGCTGCAGCATCTTTGCCCTTTGGCTTGCCCTTTACTTCAGAGGCAGCAGGTCCAAGTTGGAGCGGAGATGAGGATACAGCCGCCTCTGCTTTGGCGACCTCCTTTGTGTTCTTCTGCTGTGCTCGTCGGGCAGCCTTTTCTGCCTTGGCCTTGGCCTTGAGCTCGGCACCTGTGAGCTTCTTCTCTCCTGCTGAAGCATCTGCTGGCTTCTTGTCATCCTTGTCCTTTGCAGGCTGACCCTTCGCGGGGGCAGCGGGCTTTACATCCTTTGCGATCGTCTCGGCCTTTGCTGAGGTGTTGGGCTGTTGAGTTGGTGCAGCAGGTGCGCCTGCGACGGGCGCACCGTTGGGCTGTTCGGACATTGTACTCTTCTTTGGCGGTTTGTCTTTTTGGTAAAAGTCGCAGGTGGATATGCGCAATAAATCTCAGTGTGTCGATCTGGAACTCGAGTCGTTTTTGCGGATGCGAAAAGTCAGCTGCAGTTGAAGACGTGTGGAGGTTTAGTTTGCGCAAAACGCCGCCCTGTTAAATCTTCGCGACTTTTTTTTAATGGGTGGTGATTCCTAGAAGCTTAATTGATGATTGACTCACAATCCCATAAAATTCAATGTTCCAACGTGGGGCATTTTTTCGAGTCGCGGTACGTACCCATGGTAGCACTGAGTGCTTCGACTTGCTGCAAACAATCAGACAGGGAACCCCGCCATCAGTGACCATCCCCGCTAACAAGAACCGACCAGGCGTCCAGACTCCAACAATCGACTGCCCCACCCCCGACATTGATGGAGAAGGGAGAAGCTCCCCCGGTGCCTCTTAGGAAAAGCTACGATTTCCCATCACCTCATAGGCCAGCAGTACGTCTGATAGGTGAAAAATGCCCTGTCTGGCAACTCACGAGATGGTGGTTCGACCCAGGTAGGTTTGCATAGTTCTCCAGTTTGTACGTCTCCAGTCCCTCCGACCTGGATGGGCAATGCGTCCGTCTCCTCTCCGCATCTCGCTCTCATCAATTCCTAAATCAAAACTGAAGTCTTTGAACGATCCAAGCGACTTGTCCGTATTTCCTAATCCAACCACTCAACAAACCAACTCCTATACATGTGCCATTATTGAAGCCAGTCTTTGCACTCCTGTTCTCTCTTGGCAGTCAGAGCCTCCTCTTTCCCTGAACGTGATAACTCACTCCGCTGTGCAAATAAGCACTGTACCCACACAGTACTGTGCGAAACAATCAAAACCTTTTTCTCAGGGTCACTATATTGATTCGATTGCCTATATTAACTGATACAATCACCTTACTCGTGGTCACTTCTCTGTAGACAAGCAGGTTCAAGTCAGCCACCATGTCAACCAAACACTTCATCAATGATCCCACACTACTTGTGAACTCCGCACTGGAGTCCATCACTTATACCAACCCCAAAGTCGCCCTGGATGCTCAAAACAAAATCATTTATCGAAGACCACAAGATGGTGTTCCCTCGCAAGTCTCCATCATCAGCGGTGGTGGCAGTGGCCATGAACCCAGTTTCTCGGCACTTGTTGGTCCAGGCCTGCTCTCTGCTGCTGTAGCTGGTACCATCTTCGCATCTCCCAGTGCCGAGCAGGTCAGGAGAGCCATCTTGTCCAGAGTCGACACGGACAAAGGTGTTTTGGTCACTGTCATGAATTACACCGGCGATGTCTTGAATTTTGGCATGGCCGTGGAAAAGGCCAAGGCCGCTGGCATCAATGCTGAAATGGTCGTTGTTGGTGACGATGTCGGCGTCGGTCGCGAAAAGGGCGGCAAAGTTGGCAGGCGTGGTATTGCCGGTACTGTCCTCGTCCAGAAGATCGCTGGTGCCTTGGCCGCACAGGGTGCAAGCTTGGAGCATGTTCACAAGGTCGCCAAACTGACAGCAGACAACTTGGTCAGTGTTGGTGCCAGCCTGGAGCATGTCCATGTACCTGGCCGAGCTCCGCCTGACCCGAACTCCAAGGATAATCTGGGCTTCAAGGAAGTGGAACTCGGTATGGGCATTCACAATGAGCCTGGTTCTGGAAGGGCAGAAGTCGAGTTGCCAGAACTTGTCAGCAAAATGCTCACTCAGCTCCTGGACCAGAACGACAAGGACCGCGCATTCCTCAAGATCAACTCAAACGAGGTAGTCTTGCTCGTCAACAACCTGGGTGGCATCAGTGTATTGGAGATGGGAGGCATTACCGCAGAAGTAGTGAAGCAACTTGAGAAATGGGGCATCCGTCCTGTCCGGATCTTGAGCGGCACCTACATGACAAGCTTGAACGGGCCGGGTTTCAGTATTTCGCTTCTGAACGTGGTCAATACAGATGTAAGTAAAATATCTTCTTATATGGTCCATATGGAACTTTTACGGTGTCCTTGGATTTTTTGGTCTCCCTTCTTTTTTTGAAGCCTGCTCAATTTTCGGGAATATTTCATGGAGATTGGTGATCATATGCTATATTGCGATACTAACTGGACTTGGTACATCAGATCGGTGGACCGAGCATGCTTCAACTTTTGGACGCCCCAGCAGAAGCCAATGGGTGGGCGGCACCCATTGCAAAGGAAACTTGGGAAGCAAAGAACACGGCTACCAGAGAAGGCACAGCCGCCTCGGGCCAAGGCGTGAAGGCTAGCGATCTGAAGTATGACGCCGCAAAGGCTAATGCCGCCTTCACAGCCGGTCTAGAGGCTGTCGTTGCCGCCGAGCCCGAGGTCACAAAGTATGATACAGTCGTGGGAGACGGAGATTGCGGCATTGGCCTGAAGAGAGGAGCAGAGGGTAAGTATCTCATGAACCGGACGGACTCTTGACAGTGATAGCTAACATTAGTAGGCATTTTGAAACTTCTTTCAAGTAGTCCCCTAGAGGGAGATGCTGTGTTGGACCTTGCCAAAATCGTTTCCGTTGTTGAGACTGAAATGGACGGCACATCTGGCGCGCTCTACGCCATTTTCCTCAACTCCCTCGTCCACTCACTGCGATCGCAAATACCTGGTCAGGCATCGCCACAGGTCTGGGCGGCTGCATTGAAGCAAAGCTGCGATGCCCTTTCTCGGTACACGCCTGCTCGGCCGGGAGACAGAACAGTAATTGATGCCCTCTACCCATTCGTCGATACTCTCGAGCAGACTGGCGATGTGAAGAAGGCAGCGGAGGCAGCCAAGGCGGCGGCAGAGGGGACAAAGGGAATGAAGGCAAGTCTGGGCAGGACGGTTTATATCGGTGGTTCGGGTTACGAAGAGGTTCCTGATCCCGGCGCTTGGGGTTTGACATGTTTCTTCCTTGGACTTGCTGGGTTGAAGTCGGCAGATGATGGCTGGGAGGCCATCTGACCCTGTTATCAAATTAGGTAGATTCACAATGTGAGTATGGAGTAATTCCGTGACACTGATTGGGACAATAATTTCTCGCATTATCTTGGCTGTCCTCTGTCTCAAGATCTGCTTTTCATCTGTCTTTGGCCATATCTTCAGTGCTTCATCTGTTGACCATCTGCATGAGCGTATTGAATGTCCCGGACCGTCCCACGCGCGCGGAGTCCTGACTTGTTTCCCATCAACGCCCAAGCCAAATAGCTGCCAGCATATCATCTATGCTATTAAAAATCGTGATTCTTTTTGTCGACCATATGATGAAAATCATCTTCGTTTTACGTGTCCATTAGGCACGTCAGGTTCCGTAAATCAACAGCAGCAGCAGCATCGGGGCCACCCCATCTTGCAATCTTCGCCTATCCCAAAACACGCTCTTTAACTCAGCAGAACCAGAATGACAGAGTCTCCTCTGAGGAACATCTTGGAGATGAAGCGGTCCTTGTTGACGGGCCTGCCCTTCTTGCCACCCGAGAGCCGCGGCGTTTCCGTCCACATCTCCTTGACATTTTCGAGAACCATGTTGCAGTGTCGGTCAAAGGCCTTGACACGGGCCAGCAGCTTGCGGTTGTTACGGATCGAGATGAGGACCTGGGTGTGGCTGCGAACGGCGGTCTGGAGGATGGACAGCGGGCCGCTGTTGAACTCGTACTCTTCTAGTTGCGCAATCTCGTACTCTCTGTAAGAAGTGTCAGTCGTATGTATACCGGCAAGATACAGTGCACCCCGAGTTCAAGATCGAGGCCGCTGGGGTGCACGCAAATGGCAAAAGGGCGATGATGCACGTACGTAAGCTCGTTGCGAGGCTTGGTGAGGAGATCCCTGGCTTTTGTTAGTCTTGATAATTCATCATGGATGTGACTAGAGGGCAACAAACTGGATCTTTGCGTCCGCCATCTTGGTTGTGCCGTGACTTTTCGTGATGTGTAAACGAGAGTCGCGTTGGTTTGACGAGCCAACGAGAGCTGCGCGCAAGGCTGAAATGTGCTGTAGTCAATCCTCAAAAGTTCTCGGCCAGGCACAGAGCTTGGCATGAAAGCGATCTGATTGGCTGCTCACCGACCAAGAGCTTAAAGTGGGTCTCTAGTCGCAAATGCGGTTCGACGCGGATTTTGGTCGACTCTAAAATTTGGGGCCGAGGAAAGAAAGCTACTGCAGGACTGGCAATTGGGAAAATCATAGCCGCCATCTCTTAAAACGTTTTCGGCTTTCATCTCCTCCCCCCAAAGCCGCCCTCGTTTCCTTTCCTTGTCAGACCAACGGCAACCTCAATGCGCAGCAACTGACGGCCAGCGCATTGTGCTCAGTTGTAGTAGATGTCGTTCAGAGTCGCCATAAGTCGGGCTGGGACTGCAGCGAATGCTGCTTCTCCCTGGCACTCGTGCAGCTCCAGAATGCCTCTGAAAGCCCACATTCTCGACTCCAAGCTCGGCTCCAGAGCTGTAAGCTTACTTTCCATCTGAACATTGTATTTGCTTATACCTGTAATGCTAATGCGATTGAATCTATCCAGATGTCCACAAAATACAACGAAGTTATCAAGCCCCGCCAGGATGACGAGCCCGAGGATGTAACCTTCAACAGTCTGTACGGTCTCCGAACTGTTGAGCTCAACCGGCCGAAGAAGCTGAACTCGCTCAATGCTTCCATGATCCGCAAAATTGTACCTCGCCTTGTCGAATGGGAGAAGTCGGATCTGGCCAATGTGGTTGTTATGAAGGGAGCTGGCGACAGAGCGCTATGTGCCGGAGGTGATGTGAAAGCTCTGTCCGATCTCAACAAGGAGGGTCCTGAGGGCCAGAAGAAATCGACCGACTATTTCGGACTCGAGTACAAGCTGGACCACCTTATTGCGACCTACCAAAAGCCATATATCTCTTTCATGGACGGTATTACCATGGGAGGTGGTGTTGGACTCAGCCTGCACGCACCGTTCAGGGTTGCAACCGAGCGAACCGTTTTCGCCATGCCCGAGACAACCATCGGCTTCTTCCCCGATGTTGGCGCATCCTTCTTTTTGCCCAGGCTAGCTGGCTCTGTCGGCACATACCTGGCCCTCACGAGCGAGCGCCTGACCGGCGCCAACGTCTTCTACTCGGGGATCGCCACTCACTATCTTCACTCAACGAGTTTGCCCAAGTTGGAGTCCCGTCTTGCCGAATTGCGATTCAGAGACTACGACGACACTAAGAAGCGACTTGAAATTATCGAGATGACTCTTGAGGAGTACGCTACTGGTCTTCCTCCTTTGAACAAGGAGCCCATCCTCATCGCTGGGGAGCTTCGTAATGCCATTGACAGATGTTTCAGCAAGGCGACAGTGCCCGAGATTCTGCAAGCTCTGGAGGAGGAACAAGGACCTACAAAGGAGTGGGCCGAGAGAACGCTGGCTACTCTGCAGAAGCGCTCGCCGACTGCTGTCCACGTGGCTCTCAAGCAAATGCAGGTTGGCAGGCGCTGGAGCATCGCCGAGACCTTCCACAAGGAGCACAAGATTGCGGCACAATTTATGCGGCACCCAGACTTTGTCGAGGGTGTTGACAAGCAGCTATCCAAGGACCGCGGCACACCAAACTGGCAACCCGCATCGCTAGCAGACATTCAGCCCAAACAAGATATCACAGGGCCATTTTTCCAGGACGAGATTAGCGGCGTAGAGCCGCTGAGGTTACTGGTAGACCGTGACTACGAAGAGTACCCCTACCCGTATGTTGGCGTGCCGACCGAAAAGGACGTGCAGAAGGCCGTCAAGGTAGGGTCCAAATCCAAGAAGCAGATTGCCGACGACTTTGTTCAGTTGAAGAAGGGCAGACAAGGTATCCGGACGGTTGTTGAGGAGATCCTGGCAAGGAAAACATACGAAACAGATGAGGGAGCAGCGGTTTGGGTTGACGAAACGTCATAAATATCACAGCTGCCATGGATTTACTGTAACATCAGAAGTCTCGTTTGAGCTTTTGTAGATATCAACGAGACAAATGTATTATAAAGGTTATGTGGACAAGAACCATGTAATGAAGGATAAAAAGAAATGGGATTGGCAAGCGATATCATCTGTCGTCTATCGTCTAGGTTGAAATGGCCTCATTTGATTGAACGCGTCGCAAACACACCCGCATTACCCCAAAACTCCAAATTGACGGTTTTGGGGTGGTATATAAACAAGGCTATCAACATGGGGGTGCAAGGCTGCCTTGTGTCATGATTTTGTGCAAGTGGGGCTGTTTTCCGGATCCCGGGGGATATATAAAGGAGCGCCGGGCCCCTCATCGATGGAAATGCCACTTGACAACTTGCAAAATCATTTCTGAAATCAATGGTCTGCCGGGCGGCCGGTCGAATGCTGATTCTCCCATTGTCAGAGTTCCCGGAGACAAGCTGCTCAAGTCCGATAAGCCTGTGGCCCGTGCACTATTTCCTGGCAATCGACCTCGACAGCTGTGCCCCACCACTTAGCTTTAGCGTCTTCGCGGCTTGGCCTTTCAGCGTCTTGTACCCCTGCCGCCAATCCCCCAGCGGGAAACCCAGATTTGCTTTTTTAGCATCTTGCAGCGCGTGTCGACAGCCCCCAGCCATCCCGTTTCGCAGCGCTTTTGACGTCAATTTCGCGTTTTCCATCGCGTCGCTAGCGCTCTGTCGTTTGCAACACGCGTGGTACCCGTCCCCGCTAAATAGATTGCTGGGCCCCTCGGTACCTTTTACCTCTCCTACTGCAGCAACTGCAGAGTCCTTCATCTTTTCCTAGACCTTCACATACCAACACGCACTTCACGACCTGCAACGACTTGTACAAATTGAAACTTTCCAGCTTCTGGCGAGTATCTGAATTTGTTTAATTGATCCTGTCACTCATTGATCTTTTGCATACACAACCACATACTTGAACTTTTTTCCAATCGACCGCTTTCAGACCAAGCTTTACTTTCTCCAACAGCTCCCTCCCACCTCGCGTCCGCTTCAAACATTAAAGCACGAAAATAGTTCCGACGCGCTTCCAAGAATATGCATACGATATACCACAAGGAAACTTGACATCGAAGCTGCTGGGCACAGAGTCCCAGCTTCGAATATTTTGAAACTTTCGATCGAGTAAATTTTCAAAGGACCACAGCACACACTTTACTGTATCCTGTTTTCACAACGCCAAACACCAGACATACACGTTGAAAGGATGTCCAACAACAATGGCAATTGGGGCCCCATGCCCACGCCCACAGAATCTGAGGAGACAGGTCTTCAGTCAAGACCCATGGGCTGTATGGCATCTCTACATTCTCTGTGTTCCTCAATGCTAATTTGCATCCAGTGAAAATTCACTATACATTTGACAAGGATGGCAAGGAAAACTGCCTTGCTCGGTGGCCACATGTTCTTCCAATACAGACGATACCCCTAGACGAGAAGAACTTGATTGGTGTGGTGGATCTTCGGACTTGCTTACAGTCTATTGCTCAGTGCAGCCCAGAGTTGGCTGGCGACAATGAACGGGACTACACTGTCTACGCTTACGACTACTCAGAGCCTGATACGCCTTTGGTCGGCCAGGGCATGTTCAGCTGTGCACTCATACAGAACAATAATGCTGCTCCGCAACTAGTTACTGGACGGGTCACGAAGAATTTGTTGGCCATCTTTGGCAAAGGAGTGCAGGAGACCCTCGAGGTCAAGTTGAAATTGACCGCCATCCCAAAAGTCGTGCGGGCCACTCCCATGGTGCATGCACCAACGCCAATGGCAGTAAACCCCAGCATGACACCGCAATTCCCGCCAAGTCTACAGCAGTCCTCTTCCATGATGTCCGAGACGAACGAATGGCATGCCTTTGTTCAGGCAAACCCTAATTTGAGCCCTGCAACCGGCGCATCGATTCCATCTCCAGCTGCAGTACCAATCCAACCATTCAATCCTGCCTATGAAGCTCGGAATGATATGACGAACCAATATATTCAGCCCATGCCCACAAATGCAGGCAGTCGACCCGGAAGTCGGTCAGGAAGCCACGCAGGAAGCCGCCCAGGGTCTTCCATGGGACCAGCTACACATTTCCAGGGCGCGACAACTCCCCAAGCCTCTAACTTGTCCCAAGTATTCACGCAGAGCCCACAACAGCAACAAGCCGTAGTTGCACCAGTCAATGTATCCACAACTGTGCAGCCACGTCCATCATCGAGACCATCCTCTAGAGCTTCCACGGGCAGACCTCGAGGCCGACCGCGCAAGAACCCGCTCCCAGTCGAGGGCAGTACTTCTGGCTACGAGGATGGCACTGACGGCGACGAACCACCACGAGCTAAGAAACGGGCCAAGACGACCAAGGTTGAACGAAGTAATACTGCGACGTTTGGCTCTGCACCAGAATCTCTTCGTGTGGCAGCAAGCACTTCTGGTTCTTTGCGAAATTTTCGACCAGTCAGTCTTGGTGGTGAAGGAGCACCTGGGAATCATTTACAAGAGGTGCCTAGAGCCCCTACGCCTGTGCCTACCCATCGACCATTGCCTGGCCCTATTCAGCAACATCCACCACCACCAAGCCAGCTGAGGCGGCTGTCGAGCTCAAACTTTTCTGAGCAGAATGGGGCATACACAAATTCGTTTCTGGATGTGAATCGGCCGACATCCTTTGGACCAGATGCCAGGTCGCCTACTGATTCTCTTGCGCCCTCTCCGTCCCAGTATAGTGAGGGTCCTAGCCCTGCCGATATTGGCTCTTCACCACCTGTTCCCAGATCAGTCATGTATCCGAGCGCGCGTTCGAGTCCAGCTCCTTCTAGTCCGATTCTGCCTCCAATGCGAGCACAGCAGATAGATTCTGGTTTCATGAGTGGCGGCGTCGAGCAATTTGGCAGTCGACTTGATGACGAAGAAGCTGGCAAGACACAAACACAGCCACCAGCACCTGCTGCAGAGACATCAAAGCCGAAGCCGAAGCCGCGCAAGAGCCGCGCGAAGAAGCAGCAACCCCTGAAAAACGAGCAGAGCGAGCATCTTTCACAAAGTGGTGGGCTCATAATTCAAACCGAGACACCTGGACCTCCTGAGCTGCTGCCCACGACCTCGATATATAACCCGCCCAATCATCAGGCACATTATCACAAGCAAGCAGAAGAGCAAGCCATGAACTCCATGGATACACCCTTTCAGATTGAAAACACAAGATCTCATACACCTCAGAATAGATATCAAATCCCAACACCTGAGATAGTCATCCCTCAGGAGCCGCCCACGACCAACGAGGTCGGAGATGTACAGTCGCAGGACGACTTTGAAGACTTGGAAAAGGTATTCATGGATGGTCTTGGGCAGCAAAATACGCAATCCTTTGAAGGTCTAGCTACAGATACACAGACTTTCAGCCCGTCTGATATTCAAATGCAGTCCGAGATCAAGCAGACAATTGAGCGCGAAGGATCGGCTCGCGCGATGGAGCTGCAATCTGTTCCAAGATCAAGCCACGACGGTGCTGAAGAGCCAGAACTCCCACCAATGGTACCAGCAAGCGATCCTGTATGCCCTCGATCATTCAATATGGGCTCGGAACCACCACACCCACAAACAGATGCTGCTTACAACAAGAATGCCGTCAAGAAGCAGACGATCAAGCAGAGACTTGAGGAAGCGATTGCTGCGGGACGAATGCCGCCGTTCTGTAGCAACTGCGGAGCCATCGAGACTCCAACGTGGCGCAAGATCTACAAGCAAGTACAGACGGGTGTGCCAAGTTTCCATATTTATTCGGATAAGCCAGGCCATGTCACCGCAATCAACATTCTGACGCAGGCTAGCGATGGAGCCATTACCTCGTACGAAATGATCAAGAAGTGCCTGGGGCCCAATGAAGACAAGAGCGCATGGAATGAGCTCATTCTATGCAACCCTTGTGGACTTTGGTTCTCCAAGTGGAAACAACCCCGACCAGCTGACAAGTGGGAGAAGGATCAGCAACGCCTCGGCCAGACAAGAAAAAGGAAGGATCCAAGTGAGAAGGGTTCCAGAGCGCCGCGATCCAGAAAGCCTCGCACAAAGAGCGGATCTCAGGTGAATCCAACATCTGACGCAGGGCTTATGACCGATCCTCTGGGGTTTGACGGTGTCTTTTCGCCCAAGGATGAACTTCCCAACCCTTTTGAGTCGACACAGCTTGCGGGAAACGGACCAAGCGGGACCAGTGAAGAACAACAAGGACCTGGATCAACTCATTCTCGTGGTTCAACACATTCCAGAGGTAGCGGAAAGTCCCCAGCAAGTCCCATAGCTCTTGATGATGAGTTTGGGACCACGAGGCGCCTCCTGTTCCCCTCGCCACGCAAAGAAGGCGAGCAAAAGATTCTGGGCGAGATTGCCGTTAATGTAGTGCAGACCGCTGATGATTTTATGCGGTCCAAGGAGGACAACACTGTGGATGGCAAGGAGAATGCTGCTCCAATAGAAACAGACGACATGGCTGACCTGTTTGGTACGCCTGCCCGACCTTCAACGCCTCCTCCCAAATCTGTTCCTAGCGGCACTTTCAAGACCCCAAATCGGCTCACGCCCAGTCACCGACCGGTCACTAGAAGTGTATCCAAGTCGATTAGGTCTGTGCGCTCGATCAGATCTCCGGCACAAGGACTTGCTGTCCAGCAAACACCTTCAAGGACCCCACGCTCTAATGCGGCGATCATCAGGCGGTCCCCTAGAGTGGCAGGCCTTCAATCGCAGCTCCCAGATGACGGTCGGCCTCCTGAATCGCCCTTCACCAAATCCATTAACAAGCTTCTTGCTGAAGCGGGTGATTTCATCGTTGGGCCTGTGGCATCGGGATCCGCATTAGAGATCGTCCCATATAGCAAGTTACATTCTGAGAGATTTGGCGACCTGCCCCATACCGAGAATGGGCCACAGCACCCGCTTGATGCTCCCTGGGACTTTGGCAATCTTCTGGGCACGGATGAGGTGATGCCTAGCTCGCCACCCACGTTACACCAGCATATTAGTTTTGGCGCCGACGACATCGATATCTGGGAACATTTCCAGACTCTTTGTAACAATAGCAACAAGATGGACGAGAATGGCCAAGCGCGAAAAGCTTAGTCGGAAGATGACAAGTCGTTATTTTTTCAGGAACGCTGACGCTTTGTTTTTTTTGATGTTTTATAATTGCATCTTGCACGGAGTTTAGAGATACAGCTCAATCAGCTGCTTGTGGTATTTTACACTTAGGCGCATGCATACAGCGCGAGGGATATAAATAGGATATACCTCCATCGTTCAATCAAGACAGTCATATTCAACGTGATTCAGAGTTCCCATGATAAAATTGTGACATACCCGGTAATGCAGCTGACGGGGCTGTCTTGGAACGGTATAATTGCTTCGCCATGTTGTCCCATGTCTTTGAAGACTGCTCGGTAACCGTTGAGATGATTTGATTCTCTTGGCATGATCATGGTACGGATTGTCTTGGACAGCATGGAATGAGCAGTCAGCCCCGTACGTCAGCTTTACTATGGTCATTCAAAAGCAGGGTCGGTGTTGGAAATGAAGTATCAAGATATTATTGAATATCATACTCGACGATACCTGTGACCTCGTGACTTCTTCTTTCCAGTATCGTCCGAGTCTCGCAATGCTTCATGGATCCGCGCGAGGAGCTCCACTGACCTTAATCGCCTTGGGTCGTCGTCTGCGAGTATCCTGTTTCGAATGGCAACGACAGGTTCAAGCAGCTCGGCTGCTCTACTCGCATTTCCATTTCTCAGATAAGCCCAGCCAAGCTCGTATCGCGATACTAATCGACTAGGGTGGTCTTCTGCTAACGTCGACTTAATGCGGACCACGTGCTCCAGTAAATTAATTGCATCTTTTATCTGCCCGTTGTCAAGATATGCAAATGCCAGCTGGTGTTGCGTTGATAATCGATAAGGATGGTCTTCTGCCCACGTCGACCTTACGCGGACCACGTGCTCCAGTAATCCAATTGCATCTTCCATCTGCCTGTTGTCAAGATATGCTGATGCCAGCTGGTGTTGCGTTGATAATCGATTAGGGTGGTCTTCTGCTAACGTCGACTGAATGCGGACCACGTGCTCTAGTAATCCAATTGCATCTTTTATTTGCCCGTTTTTAAGATATGCTGATGCCAGCGCGTGTTGCGATCCTAATCGATTAGAGTCGTCTTCTGCTAATATCGATTCAATGCGGACCACGTTCTTCAGTAATCTAATTGCTTTTTTTATCTGCCCGTCTGCAAGACATGCTGATGCCAACGTGTGTTGTGTATTCAGCCGAACTGAGTCGTCTTCCCGAAGGTGTTGTTTGCTCCAGTGAAAAGCTTCTTCCAGCCTAGTGATAGCGTCCGAGTACCTTCCCTCGGAATCTAGGCAGCGCCCGACCCAATAGTTGAGATCGTGTCTCGTTCTCGTGTCATATGTCGACTTGTCTTGCAAGATCTTTAGAGCATGTGGCATGTACTTTCGCCAGATCATGCGATTCTCCCACTCATCCGATGGGAACTCCTTGTTGATCTGTTCAAAAGCAACTTGAGTTGTTGTCTTGGTCTGTTGACTTTCTTTTAACCATATACGAACGGCCAAATGGACAAGACTATGCATATCCAAGAACTTCCCGTCCGCTCGCCTCTTGACGAATGAATATGCAGAAAGCGTGCCGAGGGCTTCGATTGTCTCCAATTTTGTGTGATTACGAAAACCCTCGAGCAATGATTCGGGTATCGCTTTTGGCTCGATGCACGACAGGAAAGCGAGTATTTCGGCAGCAAACACATCAGTCTTCCGTATCTGATCAAATGATACGAGCCACGTGGTTGCTATGGCCCTTTGCGACTTCTCATGAAGCGTGCTATCATTGAATTCTCGGCTCATGAGATCGACCATGCTTCCCTCCCCGCCATGGAGAAGCTCGAGATACCTAGCAATCGAAATGTCGTTGCGTCTCAAATAGGCGGCGGCTTGAGATATTGCCAGCGGAAGATAGGTGAGTTTGTCAAGCAGTTTCATGACCTGCCTCTCATCTTGTAGAAGTATCCCGGGGACGGCCAGCTTCTTCAAGAGTGTTGTTGCTTCACCTGCTTCCATATCGGTGACATGAATTACCTCACGTTGGACGTTCTTTCTTGCTAGTTCGTCAGACCGAGTTGTGAAGAGTATTTGTACGTGCTGAAGCCCCGATAAATACTCGTAGAGACCACCAGAATCGTTCTTGCCGTATAGTATCTCGCCATCATCAGCATTATCCACAATGACGAGACACTTCTCGGTCTCATTTGATCCGAAATAGCTGCGTAACAAGTCTTTGGGATCTTCCTTGCCGTTTTGGATGCGGAGCATATTTATGATGGCCGAGCACGACTGGTCGAAACTTTCATTGCTCAGCGCTGAGATCCAGAAAATGCTTCTGTCCCATCTGCTTTGCATGACATCGTGTGCGAATTGAAGTGCAATCTGGGTTTTGCCTGCACCGCCCAGGCCTACCAATGCGACTTCTCGGCGACATTCTTTGAACAACTTTTTGTGGACAGCGTCAAGTAACTTGGCGCGTCTTACAAAGTATTCATTCTCTTGGAGAGGGAGATAGTAGTGGGTACGGCCTAGAATCCAGATCAGCCATTTTCCTATATAAGCTGTTCGTATGACTAACTACTAGATTGTGGTTCAAGCTCAGCCACACCGGCTTCCTCTTGTGTTGGCTCGGCAAGAAATCTGCGGACGAAAGCACTGACTGCTCGTCGATTCTCCCTCAGGTAATTGCCAGTGTGTGCAGAGATGTTGCTTGTTTTCTGCCAATCTGAGAGGGTGATATCTTCGAGACCGCGTTCGACGTTGAATCGATAATAGCTGCCGCTTCCACCATAGCGATCTTCGAGTCTTGTCGCCACATTTTTCGACGTTGTCGCCATTTTCTTCAGAGCCTTCAGTATCGACACTCTGGAATCCTTGATGGAAACGACGTTTCCAAGTCCGGTACCAATACTGAGGACTTGCAAATGCTTGCGATGGGGATACTGGCGCTGAGCCTCCTCAATCAAGACTTCGCATGGATTGTTATGTCCGAACCCCGCGTCGATAAAGTCAATCTTGTCGCGGCCAAGTTGTATCGGTTTGAAGAAGGTGGTCGCGGCCGATGTCGCTCGGGCAATTTGCCATATTGTGCAACCCTCAAAGGCAGCGCTGGTGTCGTAGGTGGTAAAAAGAGTGGGTGGGGCATCCACATTGTCTTTTGTTATAGCTAGGACAACACTATAGCCTGTTAGCGGACCTGTTATGGTTGGTGCTAATGCTGAGACCTGCAAGACCATTTTCGCACTCCGAAAGTTTCGGGCATCATATAATATATCGCATAAGTCATAATGAAACAAAAGCGAAAGGAAATCTTGGATTATACCCCTCGAGACAGAAAGAAATCTACCAACGTACGTTTTTGTGCATTTTCTCTCTCGAAACCTCATTTCGCTGTGTGGACATGTGTCGGTTGTGGATTGACCTTGTCTTCTCGTTCTTGAACAAGAACGTTCCACACAGTTGGTCCTAACCACTTTTTTTATGGCTTCTTCAAGGTTGGTAGCGGAATATGCGCCTCTGGGCGGTGCGATACTCAATCGCGATCGAGTTTTAGGAGTAAAGGCTGCCTCCCCGACTTGGTCGTAAGCACGGATACACTCGTCGACAGTCATGCCTAGCCTGCCAAGCATGATGGCGATGATCCCGCCGGTGCTTGTGCCCCCTATCAAGTCAAACCTGTCGCATGGTCTGGGTGTCTCATCGAGTCCCTCAGATTGGCGAATGTCTTCCATGATGGACTCGAGGATCAAAAGGCTCGATTTCCCACGGATGCCTCCCCCATCTGGGGTTGAAGCGGTTAACTTGATTGAGACCCAAAGACCAGAAGGTAGGCGACTCTTACCTAGAGAGAGGATCCTCAAGGGGGTTTCTGCCCGTTGAGACATTGCAAGTCACTGGCCACTTGCGCCACGTTGGCTCGTGTTAATGATGCTACTCATTGCAAGAAGGCTTCGTGTGCGGGGAAGTTGTGCCCAGCTGCAGTTGGATCATGGGTGAGCAAAGAACTGCACGTGATCAGCTGATTACAGGCATACCTCAGCCTCGCCATGATCTCCATCTCATTTGGGCCTGTGCCTCATTTTTGATCCTCTCAAACAGTTGTCGTGTAGGGTGCGGAATGATCCAAAGTTGCGCATCTTGTGAGCCAGCTTTGTTGCCATCATTGAGCATCAGAGATGGTTGTTTAGTATGCCGTTTGAAAGAGGTGGAATCCTGTCTTTCCCTCTCTATCACGCACTTGATCATTTCCCTTGGACTTCAAAATATTTCTGATGTGAGATGAATGCGATTGCCCATTATATTGATCCCTCTTTGTGTTGCTCTGGCCGCTATGGCATCAATAATAGTTTCTATGGTCGTGATTCAACTTTGTTGAGCTAGGCACTGCATCTGTCACTCTCCATCCAATAAATCATTTGTGGACATAGTATCCTTCTGGCTTGTATATGTCATAAAATCTAAGTATACTCTTAGTCGATGCTGGCCATCGCAGACCTGACGTGACTGCAGTGTTACTCCTTGGAACTTACTGGAAGTTTCTTCTTCTTTTGGTGAATGTTGCAAGAATACCGAAAGCTTTCCACGACAAAACCTAGATCAGACCACGATAAACATTCATTTATGGTCCTGGACGGCTTTGGAAGATAACTTCTATTTTAGTTTTGCATTATCTTGTTCAACGGTCACAAGCGCAACACCTTGGGTCTCGTGGAATTTCCTTATCCCTTTTTGGCGTCTTTTTTTCGATTCGATGAGGATTTTATCTTTGATACATATTATTACGGCATATATCAGATGATTATGATGCAAAACTGAATTTGCAATTGAATCGGAAGTCTTGAATGTGAACGTTGGCATTGTAATAATCGAGCTTAGTGTAGTCATCCATTCACAGACTATTTCTATTGAGCTTTCACGTGACAAAAGGAGCATCCAATAGGATCTGGATACTCATGAGTACAAAAGCTATTCCAATTCCTATTTTATGCCGGCTGTGATGCCGTGCTTTGTGTTTGTGAAGTATGCATGTAAGCAGACTACCTAGGTAAGCAATGGCAATACAACCCACATTCGACCTCTCTCATGGAAGTCCAACTTCAAATTAAAGCACGTTTTTATCCTTGGATCCCTGCATCACACTGGCACAGCCACACGGATAGACACGTGCGTCTAGCTTAGTACAACTCTAGACTTACAGGTAGATGAAATGGTCCCAGTAGAGAAGCAGAAGAGGCGCAGGCCCATCTGAGCCAGCCATCTCATCCGGCAAGAACGTACTGAAAGGGGGACGTCATTCAAGGTAGCTCCCCGAGACACGCATGCCTTTTGTCAGCGTCTTCGTGCACCATTTCCCCAAGTACTGCACGAACTATACACGATAATTCTTCTTGCTATACATGGGTAAGGTTCACGACACATGTCACTTGGCCGTTGCGCCCCATGGCATTCCCGTCGTGACACGAGCACCGCTGTGCCTGTCCAGTTTTGTTTTTCTTTTCTGGACCTTTTGTATTCTTCTGTGTATCAAGCGCTATTGTACCAAGTGTACTTGGGTGTAAGTGTTCAACGTCTGTACTATTGAAACGCCGACCCTCGCCGGCGATCTCCCGTTTGTGTTACACCAAAGGACCCCTCACCCTCCTGCGACCCTTGTACGCCGACAAAAGACAAGCCAGGGGAACGATGCAGATGGCAGAAAAAAGTACTCAAATCTGCATGTCTGACATGTTATTGTAACGTGTTTGTACTCAGAGTCACTGGATATTGATCACCTTGAACGACATGTGCGTGGCAGACAAGACATCTGCAAGGAACGATGATCCCTTCGATGGAAGCTTTCGTACATCTTTTTCGCATGTGTATCCCGATCTGTATGCAAGGTCTAGGCTAACGGCAGGATCAACCGAATACGAGCTTTTCTGGTCGCGGCTCCCTCTCTGCTTGCATACCTACAGGCCAGCAGAAGTCACGCTCGTGGCCGCGTAATCTTGCTGTCAAGCGGTGAGGGACGTCTCCTCTTCTCTTAATCCTGCTCAGAAACTCAGTCATTCACCTGAAATGCGCAGTCTCTGCGCATGATTCGTCTCGAGTTGGGGCTCTGGCAGTTGATTACCACGATCTGAAACTTTTCGCCCATTATTGCCAATGAAAGACTTGGCAGACGGTTATACTTGATGAAGCCAGTCGCCATAAAACATTACATCCAGGAGGGGTACACGATGGTGTGTCGACCTATATTCTGATTTGAGTGCATGAATTCATGAGTGTCGTATACATGTAGCTTTGGCGAATACGCTTTATTTTCTATTGTATATTTTGTTCTACATTGCTATCCTTGCACTGCTTCTATACTGATCCTTCGGGAAGACAAGTGTAAGTAGTCAACGTGCAAACCCAAATGGCAGGATGCCGACTAAGGCAGGAACTGTGCCACCTTTTGGAACTGCAGTTGTTCGCATACAGCGAGAGGCGACTGATACATTCACAAGTACATGCCGGGAAACGACAGCGCAAGCATTCTCACCTTGACTATTGCATATATGATTTATTGCTCTTCTAGGGTTTAGAAGACAGCCAAGAAGAAGAGCACAAGTATACAGTGCGCCTGGTAATAGCTCGAGTCCCTGCCTTGTAACTGCAGTACGTCGAGGTAATGTGAGCACTGAGTGGCCACGCGGATACACATACTTACCTCTTGTTAGTTGCCCAACGACTGGCGAATGGTAGCACTAGACGCATGATGGTCTATCCTCCCGCAGACACTTTTAAATAACCCCCATCTCGTGACTAGGCAAGAAGATCGGTATAATTCAAAATGAACCGTCATGGATTTGAGATGAAGCGATAATCTTGGATTCCGCATGAGTCCAAGCATAGTGAAGACGTCACTTCTTGAGCAAACCTTCTTTCGTGAACCTCGGTCCGATATAATTGTACAGATGAACTGTTTGTACATGATAGCCACTGAGTCAGAGTGTGACTATTGCACGATCCATCCCAAGTCGCATTGCACTTCTGGGGATGAGTACCATCCAAGTACCTTGAAGAACCAAGTATCATGTGAGTACTTGCCGAACGAAGAATTAAACACAAACATGAAAATTAGGTACCAAGTTAAGTAAGCAGATATATTATGCCCTGTCATGAAACATGATGAGTTATATTGTGGTGTTTTAACAGGTACGCAAGTTACAGCGCTGAAAAGACACATGAGGCGCTGGCATCTTCCTTGTCGTTGTTATTTTGCCGTAACTTGCGAAATACAAGTAAATAAAATAGTAATAAGTATTTCCGAGATAAAACCATTTCCTAGTCTGCATGAGTTCTGATGTTCATTAGTGATTCGGCACGTATCGGTACTTCACGTCCACGAGTCATCATGTATATATCTTGATTCCGGATAGCGGTGGTTAGGTATAGTAGGAAAATACATAACTTGATGTCTTTTAATAATAGATTGACATATGCAGGAGAGATAAAAGTGCGTTAAAAATGCGCCAACACTAATAAACCTTCATCCAGCAGGACCCTGAATGATCCTCACCTCGCAACTCTCGCAACGTTGTAGCCGCCACCGACGACTGCCGCCGGTTGAGTTTTGCTGTGGGCGCCCCTTCCACTAAGCAGGATCTGCAATGACTCTCAAATCAGAGCGACATGCTAACTGGTGCGGCAATATCTTTAGCAACTAAGTAGCGTGATGTCGCATCTGATTTCATCTAGCACTTCCTATCCAGCTCAAGCTAAGCATTTAGCTCAGTCGTACTCGGCGGATCGTACTCGGATGATTTTCCACTGTAACTATCATTCGATAGCTGGATAGTCTTGTTTAGTAATCTGCATAATAATGGCCTGATGTGTATGTAAGCGGAGCCATAACACTGACAATCGCGGGTACGCGACGTACACATCACTAACCACGAGTTGGGAGAATAGCGAATGGTACATGTTTCTTGTGAGAAACATCAGTTTATTTCCAGAAGAAGTAGAGTAAACCTGTGGCTCAAAGAGGCAAAATGCAAGTGACATGTCGAGAAAGCCGTTGGAGGCCTTGCTCGTATGAAATATTATCACTGTAAGGCTAGAAAATCAAGGCCCGTCGCCAAACTCGGTCAATATACAAGCATATTTCGCAACACTTCTTGGCAGGTACACCAAGCTAATGAATCCATCAAAGCTTATGGTTGACAGATAACCGACTAATGACGTCGTCGTTACAGTCCGGTCTATTTTATCTACGGGGCAGGAGAAACTTTAGCGTTGACTATTCTTTTCCGGCGCGAAAAGGAAGTAACTGTCTCATGTCAAAGTCGGGTGATAGTGTACACAGAGGTAGTCAAACCATTGATCGCGTCGTCTCAGTTGGGCACGCATCTCAAAAGGTGTCCCAATTAGGCAATAGAGTCGTGCATTGGTTTGTGCGTTGTTCTTGTCATGTAATGTACGGTACCTCGTTCTCCACGTTTTCGCAGCCGAAACGGTGAGTATATGCATTGCCGACCACCTCTTTAGCCCGGGGCGCGGTACCGGTTGCTGAGGTGCAAGAAAGAAGCAGGAGACTTTCTAGATTGTTTGCAGCAAAAGACAGATGATACTCATTCACAGAAGGCAAGACGTATCGAGCCATCCTCCAGTACGCGAGAGACTCATCGTATGCGTGTGCAGCAAGAAATCACGAGGTCCCCGAGCCGTGACCAGCAGCAATGTATCCGACCCGCGGGCGTGGTCAATACTACACTCCGCCCGCCTATTATCGACCAAAAGTTCCTCAGCAAGCAGAAACGAGCCAAACAGAAACAAGATCTCTTCGATTTTTCCCTCCCCAGCCTCTTTACTTCATGCGCTGCGGCCCTGCCCTACCGTATCTCACATGCAGGAACAAGGGCAAGCAGCTAAAAAGCCAGCCGCCGGAATGAACCGAGAGGGAGAGACTTTGCAAGGGCAATGGAATAACGGTGTTGCCTGTACGTGGCTTGCTTGGAGGGTCCTGCATGAAGCAGTACCATGTATCAAACAAGCATCACAAAAAACAAAGCGAAATATAACATGGGAAGCCATGGGGGGAAGAAAGCCGATTTTTCTGATTTGACAAAATTGAATCCCGTATCCCTTCCCAACGGCGGCTCTGCTATCCCAAACATAGCTTATCCTATATTTCACCGCACAACACGCGCCGGGTTTTCCGTCACTTTTCGTCTCCCACAAGGGATGCTGCTACGAGTGTTTTTACTATTGGTCTTGCATTACCCAATCACCATACAGTATATACTTGCTGCATCAACACACACACACCCTCTCTGACTGCCTCTCGCCAATCCAAGCCATGTCCTGCAAGCAGATAATTGCCCGCACACGCACGCACCGGCTTAAGCGAAATCCTAAGAATAGTCTGAGCTAGTCCTCTTGTGGCCCAGCCGCGTGCCAGTGGGGAGGGAAAAAAAAGCTCGTATAGGATGGGGGGAAAAAAGAAGACGGGCGCTATAACGATACTAGCCCGGCCATGTTACCCCCGGTCTAGCACACGTTTTTGTCCGTTTCTTGATTGGTTCTTACTATAACTGCTATCTGCATTCGTGCGGAATATGATTACCGAAATCAATATGGTATCCCGCTGGTCAATTGAACCGGTGCCGACCTACCTACGTCATGGTCCTCTTTGGTTTTGATCACATCATGTTCGGCACTTGGTCAATAGTCGCAAAAGAGAGAGAGATAGAGAGGGAGAGCACGTAGACAATATAGACAATGAAAAACAGATGCAAACCACCAATCAATTATTATTATTATTAGATCCCAGGCATTGGCGGGCTCCGTCGGACCCTGTCTCACACGTATGCTGAACAAGAACAACAACATTGCCACCTGTCACCAACACCACTCACTCGACCTGGCCTCTGAGAGAACATAACTGTGAGAGAGAACATGATTGATCATATAACCTTTCCGCTCGAATTTGCGAATCGTCCGCCAAAATCACTGCTGCGATATCCTGTCACGCTCAGGCGCCTATAACTCCCTCGTTGTTCCGCGCGACGACATTGACTGGCAATGTTCTCGTTTCCATTTATATACCCAAGGACCGACATTAGTCCACAAAAAAAGACAAAAAAACAAATGTAACGCCGCCCAATGCATTTGATGGTCCTCTCGCTGACCAATCTTTTTTGGTGTTCCCCCGATCGAAAAAATTTAAACAGTCGCTATGCAATTTGGAAGCTGGGTATCGTGTAAAGTTGTAAATCAAATGCTTTTTTGGTAGGGAGCGGATGAGATTCTATGCCGTGTATAGAGATCCTCGTAAAAGTCGTAAGGAGCGTAATGGTCTATAATGCCGCTGTCTTGGAAAAAAGGAGTGTCTATGATGCTGTGTCTTGTTGATGCCGTAAGGACTGACCCGGTCAGATATTATATGCCGTTTTAATTCATAAAGGGAGTGTGTCTATCATTGTGTCGATAGTGACGTGTCGTGGTATCGTGCGATCCTGTCAAAGGAATGTGTTTGTACAATTGCGTCTGTTTGAATGTTGTCGAACAATCATTAGAAAGGTTGTCGTAGGTACCCGGAAAGCCTCCTGCTGAGCTCCCTCTTGATCTGAGGCTGAACGGGTACTGACGAGGCGGATGATGAATGGCGGTGGTAATGGTGGTGAGGTTGAAATGTATGCGGCGACATGAACTGGGGTGATGGTGCCGATAGTGACAAGGGGCTAGTCGATCGAGGAGCTGTGTGCACCACCTCGGGCTGCAGAAAAGGCGAATGCGCGTGGTGGATAGGTTGAGGTGACAAGACCACAGGCGTTGCCATCAGATCCTGGTGTGCAGGAGCGTCAAAAGAGTCGATCCTGAGTGGCACGGTCAATCATGTTGTCCTCAACCAGTCACGGGAAGGCGCCGTTGTGGTGAATCTAGGTGCTGTACACCACAGGTGCTTGAAATGGAGAGACGAACCCGACGCCAAAGTTGTTGGTCCCAGCCGGGCCAAGAGGCGGATACCCCGTGTATCCGCCATCGAAAGGACCATAGTCCTCATTGTCGCTGTACACAATCGATCCCTCACCAAAGGTGGAGGATGCTGGGCTGTAGCCGCCACCATAGGAAGGCGACGGAATGTTGAGATACTGTCCGCTAGGGTACGGTGACGAAATCGTCAAGGGGCTAATGGCAGCGCCAGTCTCATGCTGCTCAGGCACCAATGTGTTGGAAAGGTCTTCAGCGCTGAAGTTGAATGCGAGATGGTGCTCGCCATACGGCAAGTATGAGGCCGTCGAAGTCGGTGTACCTTGCGAAACATCGTCGGCAACGTAGAAATCCGGCGTGAAACTGGGCGGCGGAGTGTTGAACTGAGGAAGCGACGGCGTTCGGATGGGCTCAGCGAATCCCATGCGGGCGCGGAAGTCTGCCACCGTTTGCATTGGGAATTGCATCAGGTCGAGCGGTGTTGCCAAATCGCCATCGAATTGGCAGGAAACCTTGAGCGAATAGAGCCGGCGGGTGATTTCTTCAACAGGCTGGACAGAGAGGCTACCAAAGTAGGCAGCGCCAATCTCGGGAAACAGGCGCTCCATCAAAATGGCTGCTGTGTAGTAGTGGGCAATGACTACCAAGGCACTGGGAGAGCTGGCATTTTGCTGCAGACAGGCAACAGGAAGCCAGAAGAGCCAGGCTCTCAAAGGCTGGAGCCTATCGAACTGCTCTGACACTGACTGAATGGCGCTGACTTTTCTAGCACCCTTGAGGAATGCTATCAACTGCTGCGTGAGCTTGACGTCTTCCTTGTTCTGCTTGAGGTAAGCTTCGACCTTTTGAATCTGGGTAATCACGCGTTGGAAGGCATCAAAGTCTTCCTTTAGTGGCTGATTGGGCTTGTGATCCGGAGTCGGTGAAGGGGGTGCCGTTGGGAATGTGGCGCTCTCGTTGATGAAGTCACCGAATTGACTCTCGTGCTTCCATGGTTCCATGAGATCGATGACCTGTTCCGTCTGTTAGTACCACTCTATTTTGGATGATGGAGCAGATTGGACTGACCGTCGTGGTTCCTTGCATGAGATGGGTCCAGCTTCGCCTGTACGTATCCCAAATTAGACAGTGATTCCTGCGGATAGCTGCATAATGCCGCTTACCAATCTGTAGCCTGCCACGAGAGCACAATGGAGGCGGCCAATACGGCATCGGAGTTCTCTTTCAAGAATGAAGCTAGGGCTTCCTGCAGGCCTTTGATGGCAATGCCACGGTGCGCATAAGCCATGTTTCCGACGATCGGGCAGTCGGTGATATTGGCAATGTGGGTGGCGGCAAAGGCAAGGAGAGCCTCCATAACATAGCGGTGGGTAGCGCCGATCTTCATGATGCTGTCTCGGGAGTCAGCAGGAATGTTATACAGACCAAAAAGTAGGAGACGCACGTAGGAATTTGGCGCGTCCACAGAGTGAAACCACCAGCGTCGATGGCGCTAAGCTCGTTGCAGATGGCTGCGAGATGATAGAGCAGCCTCAATTCCTCAGTCGTAAAGTACCGTGGATCAGGCGCAGGGTAGATGTTGAGGCTGGGGAAAGGGAAAATTCCCGTCATCTTCCAATTGGCAATGGCTGCCTCGATGGCTGGGTTCCAAAGCAGATCAGGCTTGTCCGGAGTAGCAGACCTGTCATCGGCCACGGGAACATCCTGGTATGGACATCGGACCTTGTGCTTGGTGCAGTTGCGACACTGGGGGAAGTTCTCGTCGCAGCGAATGTGACGACGTTTGCTAGAATACAGTCAATAACCGTGAACTTGTATACAGACATAAGACAAGCAAATATATGAACAAAACATACCAGTTGTCACAGCCCTTGCGGGACTTGGTGTGGCTGCGTCGAGGAGGGCCACCGCCGGGACCAGCCATTTTAGAAGCTGTAGAATAAAAATTAAAGGTTGGTTGTGAGAAAAATGAAAACACAGTACGAAAGAATCGTACTGAGTATGGAAGCGAGCGAATGGGTGTTTGGTGCGGATAGGATCTACTAGGCAAGCAGATCTCTTCTCAGACGACACACGAAAGCTGCGAGATGCCCTGCTTTATCTTGCAAAGGACGACTGATCTGTTGACTACTGGGATCGTGACATGAAATTGCGAACAGGAGCCGTGCTCTTGAATAAGTTTGCAAAAAAACAGTGTCGAAGTGTTGTTGCCGACGAGCAGAGTGTTGTAAGTGGTGCCGACTAGGTGGGTCTGATTGGAATATGCCTAGAGTATAACCTTTTGACCGTGTCTTGTTTTCTTTCAACAAGAGTCCCGAAATATCTCTTGAGCTTTTCTTCACCAAGACTACACGCTAACAACGGGTCGATGAAGCTGATCGAGTTGCGATATAATCGTATCTCTTTCTTTTTCTTTTTTTTCCCTTCTTCAAGCTGCAGTACTGTGATGTTGATAGTCTGAGACCTTTTTCCTGCTTATTTTTTTTTTTCGTAGCGGTGAGAAGCAAGTGGTGGTTGTGGTTGCTGCTGCTGCTATTGATATACCGTGGGTTGCTAGTAGGTTGGTGGTGGTTGACAAGGGCCCGGGACGATGGTTTTGGTTGACTGATCTGCTTCCGGGGGTGGGCTACTGAAGATGGTATTGAATTTTTTTTTTTCGAGTTGACAAGCACTTTCCAATCCAGAGATCTCCAAACACGACAAAAAAGGAACAAGCGAATGACAGGAGTCAACGAGGACTTCCTAAGGGGGGGAGATTTTGAGGTGGAAAGCGAGTGTGGGTTGGTTTGTTAAGGTAGCTGACGCTTCGAATTGAGTTGATGATAGTCAAGGTGGAAGGCGGCGTTGGCTGGGGGGTCGGGTGCCATAATAAATAAAAAACTGGCAGCATGGGCTGGCGGCTTTGCTTTGGCTTTGGCTTTTGGCCCTTGTTTGGAGGAACGGACGGACAAGACTTCCTGTGTGTGCGTGAGCGGGCGTGTGTGTGGTGCAGGTGGTGGGCGGTGCGGCAGGAAGGTTGGCCTTGGCTTGCTTTGGTTTGGCTTCAGCGAGCGACTTGACTTTCCTATTCCCTACGCTAGGGCGACCCGACATGGGGGGTGGTCGGTCGGTCGGTGGTGCTCTTGCTGCTGCTGTTACTTACTGCTTTGCTGCTGCTGCTTGCTGGCTGGTAGGTATAGTCTGGTAGGTGGAATGATGGAGCTAGTACGGATACTTGGGTATGTGGTGCATGTGGTGCCCTCGCTCGCAGCAGTGGCATGTACATTGCTACCTACTGGGCCCCCGATGCTGGGACGTGGGACGCAGAGGAGGTACAGCGGTACATGGCAACTCCAGAGGGCGGAGGACTGGAGTACTGGGTGGAGTACACAGGCCGTTAGTTGCATAATCGTTACCTTAGCCATGGCGACGGGGGTTTGCTTCTGGGGCCGCCAGGGTCAACGGTTGCAGAGGGCCTGCTAGAGCCATGTAGCATCCTAGGTACCTTACCTACTGTGCAATATTTTTTTTTCTTTCTATTCTATCTTCCCTACCCTTCCTTCTACCTACTGTGTATTGTACCTACTGGCTTCCAATCTGCAGGCCCTGTTACTGTGCGTACCGGCGCTCCGACAGCCAGCCCCAGCCAGCGGGGAGGACTTGAAAACAATATGGGCCCTGGGGCGGCACGGGTGTTACGGTTGAGGCATTGCCATGAGAGAGATGATGAGCTTGGACGTTGAACTTTGGGCCCCCAGGAACATTGAAGGTTACCAGTCCATCTGATTGATCATCAAAGTGATCGACTAGGCTTCTTGGTAGGAGACAAGACAAAACCAAAAGTGACAAAGATAGCAAGCAGCATAGATCCATCCATTCGCATACCGGTTCTTGGGCCACTTCAGCTCAGCTCACCCGCTCGGTAAGTTACTAAGTACCGAGCAGGCGAATGGCGGGCGTAGGGGCGTAGAGGCGCAGAGGCGTAGAGTAGTAGAGCGTACCCAAAGTGGACTGTCTTGTCTGCCACTCTTGCGCCCGGCTGGAGGTTACGTCGCATGCACACAAACTGGCATCTGAGGGTCTCGTGCAGACCTGGCATAAGGTAGTGCCATTTTGTACTGGATTCTCCGGACGCACTACCGCTACCCAGCAATAAGAACAGGCCATAAGTTGTGAATCTATAATAGGCACACGAATAATGCCCTTCTCAACATGGGCATATATCACATAAGACGGAGTATAATTGGTATGCAATACCTTTATCCCGCGCATTAGAGCCTCGAATAAGGGAATGGGGGTTTAGCTACGCTGCTATATATGGCGTCGCCGGTGTCATCAGCTTGCCAGCATCAATGATATTGTCATCTATCTTGTCAATTGCATGGTGCCAACGTAGCAGGTGAACCAAACCACGTCGAGTAATATAATACCAAGTACTGTGAAAATCCCAGCACCGATGAACCATCCGCCGTCACCGTTGAATCATAGCGTAGCAGCCATTCTTCTCATCACGCCTACCTTTGGTGGACAGCACATACCCCAATGAGTGATGCTACTTTGCTACTCTTCTTGTGTTTGGCTGCCTTAGGTTTACCTAGCGAGGGACAAGCCCAAAGCCAATTCACCCGGGCCCCAATGGAAGCTTGCCATGGGAGCCAGCACGCGCATTTGGGAGCTTGCAACTGCATGCATACTACGAAAGGTGCATACAGACCTTACCTATTTACTTACCTACACGTGCAGGTAGGCATGGTAGGAACGTAGGGAGGAGGGAAAAAGAAAGAGAAGAAATAAACCACCAAACAGCCACCTCAGGAAAATTAAATGCATGTGTAATGTAGGATGACCCCGTTACTGTGGTAATCGTTTTGGTGGCTATTTGAGCATGCCTTAATGGTATGCAAGCAAGCCCGGGCTTTTTGGGGGTCTAAATGTCCATCCACGCCGTTGAGTCAATTGCTTACACTTCACTCCTTCATGCCCTAATGTTCTGTCGCCACGCTGACGCCGCATTTGAATGAAGTCATTTAGCACTCACTCTTCGATCGATGAGAAATTCACGCCTGGTCAAATATAATAACGGGCGACGGTGCAATTGTGGCACACATCCATAATGGTAGTGGGTCTAAACATTCGGTATGGGCGACTTTCTGGCTTTGACCAGACCAGTAGGTAATAGGTTTGTAGTACCTAGGGAGGTCCATGGTGTAGAGGATACGCCAGATTCAGAAAGCATTGGGCACCATTCATAACTTATGGGGCCGATATATCGATCGTGGCTGTGCGCGGACTTATTGGTCGCTGCTCAGGTTCCTGGTTCGCTCGGTCTCGCTTTTTTTCTCCCCCCAGCTAAGCTACAAACAGTGCTAAGAGCCAAGCATCTCGCTACAGCAGTGCAAGCGCCGAACCACTGACGGTTGAGAGCGAGTGTGAAAAGATGGTCACCGGTCTCAGCCGACGATAGACCGACCCTTAGAGTATCGACTTTCCAGCATGATGCACTTCTTGCCGCCGTCCGACACAAACGTGCGATCATGCTCTGCAGTCTCAGAGACACCCGATTACCGTGCATCACTAGGCCATGTTAGTGTCTGCTACTGTGCTCTACTTGTGTAAGTAGTAGTAGTAGCAGTGTGAGAAAGAGAGTGTGTGTGTGGGCGACGTGCATCCCGTCGCCTCAAATATATATATATATATATATATATATGGCCTATCGAGCAAGTTCGGGCTTGTACTTGGCCGACCTCCCGCCAGCGGATTAGGCAAGTTTGAGAAATACCGTTGCTCTTGCGAATGTATATGTGCAAGTATCTCGTCGCCGACCGCTCATCACGCCACAAGGTGACATTCAAAGCACGACTACTTCACAATATTGATCATACGCTTTGCATGCATATCCGTGCCTCATGACACACATGACATTTCACAACTGGGCTCTTTCTTCCAAAGGCGATTCGCTCTAGGGCCGTGCTGAGCTAATCAAGCACATCAATTATTCAATGTCAACACTTTGAATACATATGCAGTAGAAAAAAGTTTTCATGTCCTGGCATGGCCCGCTACTAGAAAATTCATGGTCAGACACATAGCCAAGCAGACCAGCAGCCCGCCAAAGACATAGCCTCGGAAGTACGGAGTAAATAGAGCAGTCAGTTGGTTTGTATGGTTCTCGCTAACCCTGATATCGTTACTCTGCCGAAGCATATACACTTTTCTACCCGCTTCCAAAATATCCTAAAAGAGTTTAACCCCCACAGTTTCAGGTGAGCACCTCGGGCGAAGGAATGTCAAAGCTGTCACTCACGGCTCATAGGTGACGGGATTGTAAATGCCATTTGTCACCTTTCAAATGACGGAACCACTATACTGCTCGTCTGAGGTTCCCTCGTGGTATGGACCGCGTTGCTGGGAATGTTGCTGCTGTAAAGAAGTACTCTGTAATATACCAATGCTTGGCCTAAGTGCCTACCAGTTCTAGGCAAGTATGTAGCCCGGCTCGCAACAGTTATTGGCCGCCCTGAATCAGCCCCCTATCCTCTTTCCGAAGCGCTGTTTATTTATAGGCCACTGTACGGATAGTGCTGTACCTATTGCTTTGTAGGTAGTTCAGGTCAGGTACGGGTAGATGGCCAAGCATTTCCGTCGAACAAACAAAAACACCAAGGACAACGTGGAACGACAACAGTATTGGTCTCGGTGCGTGCCGGGATCGGCGGCCCATGGCTGCAGCTGAGAATGATCATACCTAGGTGTGCAACCTGGATGGAGCTTTCAGCACGTTGTGTGAAAGTGGTTCAATGCAGTCCCAATTCGGAAAAGTCTTGTAAAAGAGAGTTATGCTAGTAAGCAGTCGAAGGTCTTGGCATTCAAGTCCCTTGATCCCTTGGATCATTCAGGGTTTAGCCATAATCCTAGGCCCCGAGGCCTGCCGAAGCCAAACCCATC